TTTCATTGCGATCATGCCCCTGGCCTCTCTCCTCAGCTTTGCGACGGAGGAGCTGGCCTCCACCCTGGGAGAGACGCTCGGTGGGCTGCTCAATGCCACCTTTGGAAACGCCGTCGAGCTCATCGTATGTCCTGATTTTCCTTATCGTTCCTCCGCCCCCTTTTATATGAACTGTGTGCTAACGGGCGAGTTGCAGGTCAGCATCGTTGCTCTGTCCAAGAATGAAATTTGCATTGTCCAGTCCAGCATGTTGGGCAGCGTGCTCTCCAACATCCTCCTGGTCCTGGGATGCTGCTTTTTCTTCGGTGGAATTAACTACCACGAACAGTCCTTCAACAGCACCGCGGCATCCACCATGTCCTCCATGATGACCGTTGCATCGGCCTCCCTGATCATCCCATCTACTCTCTATGCATCTCTCTCTTCCTCCAAGGCCGACTCCAGGGAGAACATCCTCTTCCTCTCCCACGGCACCGCCATTATCCTTCTCATCGTGTACATCATGTACCTCTTCTTCCAGCTTCGATCTCACCCTGACCTGTTCGAGAGCCCTAATGTCGAGGCCAATGATAGTAGCGTGGAAGAGGAAGAAGAGGAGCGCATCCTCAACCCTTACGCTGCTTCCATCCTGCTTCTCATCATCACTGTCCTTGTCTCAGGATGCGCAGAGTATCTCGTCGGAAGTATCGAGCCCATCGTCCAGTCTACCGGTATGAGCAGGACTTTTATCGGTCTTATTCTTATCCCCATCGTCGGTAACGCTGCCGAGCACGTTACTGCCGTTGTAGTCGCCTGCAAGAACAAGATGGACCTGGCCATTGGTGTCGCCATCGGAAGCAGTCTGCAGATCGCCCTCTTTGTGACTCCTTTCTTGGTCATCCTCGGCTGGATCATGGACAAGGATATGACCCTCCACTTCCAGACCTTTGAGACTGTCGCTTTCTTCATCTCGGGGCTCGTCGTTACCATCCTCATTCAGGATGGCAAGTCCAACTACCTCGAGGGTGGCCTCTGTCTTGGAATGTAAGTTCTCATCTCATATCTGTACATACCCTGTACTCAACAGCAATGTATACTAACCTCTTGTTACCTCCAGGTACGTTATCATCGCTATCGGATTCTACGTCTACCCTGACGACGCAGGTGACATCGGCGCCGTTGCTTCTCAACTAGCCAACCGTTTCGCCGTCATCTCTTGATCTGCTTCCTTCTCCTTTGTATATCCTGTACCGCCGAGCAGCAGAGTACTTTTCTTCACTAGTCCCTTTCTTTCTCCATCTATAAGCAAGACCCAACCCTTTGTATTATGCATTGATAGTAGTAATCGATTTCCTTCGCCTCCCACTTCGCCCTTCCCATTCTACGCATTCTCGAGATGCGTGCGGGCTGAATGGGCTCACTCTTATACATCCTCTATCTTACTGTTGCTCAAGGGACGCGCGTTTCCGGCACTTCTGACAGGGTGTGGCGCCTGCAACTTTCCCCTATCAGCCGTTCCTCTGTGTCCAGGAAAGCAGCATAGTTTGATTCACCCATGCCAGAGATCCAATTATATCTGCTTCTTAGCCGAATTTCCCTCTCCTTTGCGTCCAACCCGATAATTTAGTCTACATTTTGAGATCCATCGACGTCCACTCAGAGTACCGTGATTAGGTAATCAAGAAGTCACGTGTAAATATGACTGGCTGGATATCGACAGGAGAGTCTCTGGTTTATACGTAGGAGAACACGGCCGCACTCATCAATGCAGTGAGATAAGAGTATCGACAGTCAGATTTTGCTGGCTGTCTCAAAGACTAGCGTTTTTCGATTCTTTTAGGCTGTCAGTCGCTCTTCTATGCAGTACGCTCCCAATTTTCATCACGTGACTCTCAAATCGCCCGAATTCGAAGCTTTTTTCAATAATCTCAAATTGACGGCGAACAATTCCTGGTTGAATCAGCAGCAGCCGCATCCATTGAAATCGAGCGGTTGCAATACATTTACATACGGAGAATCTGGATATACGCTCGATTGTTGGATGAATCTCGCCCTGGTCGTCCTAAAGCCACTTGCAGGTTCAAAAGTTGTCGCTATCAAAACGATATAAAAGCCGAGTCCAGAATTTTTTTTTTTTTTGCCAACAAACAGACACCTTATCCAATATGCCTCCTAGAATCCCCGTCCTTCCCGCTCGATCGGCTCTATCTCTCGTTCGCGCTGCTCCAGTTCACGATGCCATACACCAGACCACTCGAAAGTTCGGGAATATAAGTTTACGTTCGTCGAAATGTAATACTCCATTACCTCGCAGGTCGTTGAAAGGAGCTTGTTCCTACCGCATGAGCTCTACACCGTCTGGTAGTAATGGGAAACAAAACGATAGAGGAGTTGGTGAGCAGCCATTGGGGCCGAACCAGGACCAATTGCCGCATGTAAGTGAAGAAGCAGCCGCGACTGCTCAGGTCATGGGCAAGAAGTGTGGTGAAGTTGGTGGACCAGAGCTGGAACAAGGGACACCGGTAGCAGATGTATATTATACCAACTCAATCCTGCGTGTTATCCTATGCTTTATCAATGGATGATGCTGTTTGCTGTGCGAGTGGCTGGCTAACTGTGTGATTTTGGTTAGATTCTCAAACGAGACAAAGATGCTCTCAAGAACATGCCCAAGGTCTTACGTGATGAGGCTGCAGCGAGTCAGACTGGAAGTGGTTCTAAGCGATCATTTTCTACCTCCGCAAGATTACACCAGGGCGAAGTGAAGGGTAATTCGCCGGACCCCTCTGCTGCCACCGTTGCAAACATGCTTGCGGCTTCAAATCGGGGAGAATCTGTTGATGTTGAGAGAGGAATCCCAGAGGGCTTCAAGTATGAGCCACCAACTCTGCCTCTGCCACCAAATGAACGATTTGACCGCCGGTATGAGCCATTAGTGGAACAGTTCACCAAGCTAATAATGAAGCATGGAAAGCTATCTCTTGCTCAGAAGGTAAGATGGCCCTTCACTCTCGGTGTTTCTTCCAGCCAAAATACCTAACGACATTCCAATAGCACATGGCCAAAATCCTAGAGTATCTCCGTACTGCTCCAGCACCACTCATCGACCCGTCAAAGCCTTTCCTCCCGGGTCCTCCATCCCCGCAACTCCCTCTAAACCCAATTCTATACCTTACTCTCGCCGTCGACTCTATTGCTCCTCTTTTCCGAATTCGTCAAATCAGGGGTATTGCTGGTGGTGGTGCTGCACTTCCCATTCCAAGCCCACTTGCTCAGCGCCAACGTCGCCGAGAAGCCATCACCTGGATCCTTGAGGCTGCCGAGAAGAGACGTGACAATCAGCTTTCACACCGGATAGCGAATGAAATCATTGCCATTGCAGAGGGAAAGAGCAGTGTCTGGCTTAAGCGGGCTGCTATCCACAAACAGGCAACTGTTTCCCGTGCGAATATCCGCCGTGCCTCCCAGCAACGGAGGGGTAGGAAGCAATAAGCCATCGTAATTATGTGCTTTATTTAACCCAAATGGGATGACATGAACACGAGCGGAGAGGTGCTGAGACAGAGTGTACTTCCTCTCTTCCTGTCTGTCCTCGGGGTTAATTGGTTTCAATTGTTTGTACCATGTTCTAGCCGCTGCTGAACCTTCCTCCTTCCGCTGTTCCCTGTATAACTAGCTGTTTCCCTTTTTTTTTATCTCCCATTTGTGGAACCATTATTTATATGTATTAAGTCCGATGAAATGTAAACAAAAACCGGTTAATAAGGCGACCAATTAACTAGTCAGGTGATATGATTGTTGCCCCAAAGTGGAAATGGTCGTTTTGTGGTCCATCGACTTTATCGCGACGTCAACCTCAACTTTCACTTCCACTTTTTCAGCATCCTCAACTCCTCAGAATCCTCTTGCGCAACCTTCGAAGGGGCTTATCTATTTTACTTTTCGGCAGATATGAGCCAAGCTGATATCTCGCCTAACTGGCCACCACCAGCAGATCAAAGCTAACATGCATTGCCGCATCTATGCTGGGTCCAGCGGGCTTACAGATGATGGTAAGCAACGGGAGAGCAACATCACATTTCCGGCGGCGTTGAGCTTCTTTTTTAGCATGGCCTCGCGGCGTCCTGCATCAACAAGTTAGAAAGGCCGACTCTCCGCATGAAAAAGGGCGATGGCTCTCGGCAAAACTTGTTTCTCCAGCATGACCTCTCCCGGACCCTAGCCCTTATGCACAAGTGGCACACTTTGAGACCAACATCCTCGGCAATTTTTCTAGACCTTCCATATTGAGGGCAGAAAGGCAACCTGCAGATAATACGGGAGAACGTTTGTCAGGCCCAAGGGGGTTCCCGTTCGTTCCATGGTGAAAGACTTGTTACCCCGTTCAACTCAGACAGATGACTGTCGTTTGTGCTTGTGTTTCAGCTAGTTATTGAGTTAACTAGCAGTTGAGTCCTGATGAACGAGGCCTCGTATCTGCGATATTGCTTGCGATTTCCCAACCAAGGCTGCCATGCATGGAGGAATGTCTCGCGTGCATGCAAAATGAGCAAGCTAAATCCCCATGCTAATTCCGATAGGCGACAAGTGAGCGTTATCAGTTGGTTCAGCCCGCTTGGTGGAGCTACTTTGGATGGATCTATGCCGAATTCCAATTCCTTTTACTTAACAACTTTTACGTTACACTGGCGCGACTGGCGTCGCGTTAGGGAGAATGATGTACGCTCGTTTGCTCACCGAACCGCCTACGAGAGAGGGCAAGTCTTGGGATCTGCAGGCGACCTTCCGAGTCACATCATGCAGCCTAAAAATACCATGGCGAAAAAAGTGTCCCGTCCAGGGCAGAACGAATTGGGTTGAGGAAGCCTGATCAGGAAGAGCTAGCTTCTCCAGACCGTATGTTCCCCCTCATTCCAATAATCTGGGGAGACAGTTGTTCAACGAGATTGCACAGGGGTACCCAGGAGGAATCTTGCAACCCCATATATTCGAGCGGGGCCTTCGTATGCCCTCGCAAGGGTACGGACATCACAACTCCGCTGGTAGCCTGGCTGGTGGCATTTTGTCAAATTATACGGCCAGATGCCGGGTTGTTGATGACGGAGTCCTTCTGCTATTAGAAGGACCTAGGAACCCACGGATTCCCCCTTCGATTGCTCCTCTATGGTGCAGATTGCGTCGTGGGATAAATCCGTTCATTCATCCTCTCACACCATGTTCAAGCTTACGGCCTGCCTGCTACTGCTTGTAGCTGCAGTACAAGCTAAACTCCCGGTTACTCCGATCAGCCAGCTCCGCGCTGAGGTAAGTTGATACTAGAGCCCATCCAGCTCCAAAAAGGTCTATACCGTTGACTCTGTCTTCAGTCCCATCGTAACAAGGCTCTTGTTGCCCGTAGTCAGGATGTGAATGCTGCGTTCCCTGCGCATACTATCCAAATCCCCATCGACCATTTCCCAAAGAGTAGCCGATATGAACCTCACACCACGGAGAAGTTCAACCTGCGATACTGGTTTGATGCTAGCCATTACAAGGAGGGTGGCCCTGTGATCATTCTTCATGGCGGAGAGACTAGTGGTGAAGGTAGGTGATGGCGACTGTGCCCATTTTGAGAAATCACAACGCCTCGAGTCCGGAAGCAGCACTTACGAAGTGATTGTTTTAGGTCGCATTCCATTCCTTCAGAAGGGTATCCTGGCCCAGCTTGCACAGGCAACAAATGGTATCGGAGTAATCATGGAGCACCGATACTACGGTGGCTCCCTTCCAACTCCCGATTTCTCGAACAAGAGCTTGCGCTTCTTGACAACCGAACAAGCACTTGCTGATACGGCTTACTTCTCCAAGAATATCAAGTTCCCGGGTCTTGAGAAATATAACTTGACTGCTCCTGGTACTGCGCATATCGTGTACGGTGGCTCATATGCTGGTGGACAAGTTGTAAGTAGGAGTATCTAACTCGGGCGGTTTCGGCTTTTCCTTCCATACTAACCCATCTGTTGACAGGCCTTCCTCCGAACCCAGTACCCTGATATCTTCTGGGGAGCCATTTCTTCCTCTGGTGTGACCAAGGCCATATACGATTACTGGCAGTACTTTGAGCCCATCCGTCAGGAGGCTCCTCAGGACTGTGTCCATGTCACCCAAAACTTCGTTGATATCGTTGACAACATTATTATCCATGGAAAGAACGCCAACACCACCAAAGAGTTGAAGAACTTGTTTGGTCTTGGCCGCCTCCGTGATGCTGACTTTGCCAATGCCCTCTCCTCTGGTATTACTGGATGGCAGTCCACCAACTGGGACCCTGCTATCAGCGGCAAGAGCTTTTACCAGTACTGCAGTGAAATCACCAGTGACCGTTACCTCTATCCGGTTACTGCCCAACAGAAGGCTTCTGCTAAGCGTATCATCGAGGCCGGCGGACACGGACGTGAGGCTCCCGAGATCCTACCCCAGCTGCTCAACTTTGTCGGTTGGCTCAACAAGAGCACCTTGGAGTCCTGCTCCGGCCAGGGCCAAACTGCTGAGGAGTGCCTGAACTCCTACGATGAGGCCTTTTACAAGCAGGATAATGCCGACCAGAGCTGGAGAGCATGGCCCTGGCAATATTGCAACGAGTAAGTCTGTTTTGGCACTATTATAAGCTGCGAACTCCCGTCTTAACTGTGAATGCAACAGATGGGGATACCTGCAGACCGGCAGCGGTACTCCCAAGAACATCCGTCCTGTCATTTCCCGACTGATCGACCTGCCATACACTTCCAACATCTGCAAGCAGGCCTTTGGCATCACCAAGCCATCCAACGTTGACCTTGTCAACAAATATGGCGCTTTCGATATCGAGTATGACCGTCTTGCCTTTATCGATGGAGGTTCAGACCCATGGAAGGAGGCCGGTGTCCACGCGACTGCTGCCAGAAAGCGAGGAACCTCCACCAACAAGCCGTTTATCCTCATCCCTGACTCTGTCCACCACTGTAAGTCAAGTCACTCTTCCGAATGTAAGAAGACCTTATATACATGATGCTCACCATGTCCGTTACGCTTTAGGGGACGAGAACGGACTCTATCCCAACGAGACCACCGCCGAGCTTCCACCACAGCGGATCAAGGAAGTCCAGGCTGAGGAAGCCCGCTTCGTCAAGGAATGGATGAAGGGTAAGTGAGCCCGTATTCTCAACCATGTCAGCCTGACCTTGACTGCTAACGTATCATTCTCTTTCTTTTTCACCCCGCAGAATGGAAGCGTAAACGTTTCCACCACGTCGCCTAGAAGAGGGGCAGGAGCGAGACATGACCTTCTTAAGTACATAAATACATTGATCATCAGACATTTCCCGACATACGGAAGAATCTATATTCTATGAATGATGAATTACCTACTCACGTTCTGCCTTTCCTTGTTCCCCCGTAAGATCTGATCGTGAACCCTGGCTCGAAGTAAACAGCACAAAATGCGGTATCACATCTCATGAGCAGCCAGCTGACCCGCGAATCGCCATTTCCTCCTGCGCCAGCGCCAGGTTGTCAGTCGTTGTAGCCCGTATCTGCTGCTCCCCCGTCGGCTATCCATGTCCCTCTCGTGACCTGGCTGCACAAGCAAAAGCAAATGGACCGTCCCGGCCAGCAGCTCTCGCCAGCGGCGGGAGATCCAATTGTGTGCACAGGGCTTACCACGAGGCTGGGTTTCGTAAGCTTTCTCGTCTTTGCTTTTTCGTCTTTTACTTTCATCCCAGATATCGAGACCCTTAGAGCTGCTGTGCTAAGGTCTGGAGAAGTTTTGTGGAGTCATGATGATGCTGTTGTTGCTGCTGCTGCTGCTGAGTGTTGAGTGTCCTTTTCGCCGCCAGCTGTCCGGAAAGCCGAAAGCTGCGTCTCGATATTTAGACGGTCCTCCGTAATATGATCTGTAACCAACTGTAGAGGACCAAAGGGCGAGGCTGCTGCTGTGTGGCCTGTGACTGGCTCCAGAATCTAGCAGCAAGGCGGCTATAACTGAGATCGACCTGGCCTGCATCTTCAACCCTCCCCGGCCGCAACTCCTGACGCCTTGCGCGACTGCAGCGGCAGACACCTCACGAACTTGGCGAGACGAACCCGTGAGATCAGTTATTACTTTATTTCCTTCTTTTTGCTCCATCAGAGACACCAATTCGCACAGGGAGAATCCCCGTCCTGACTGATCGCAAAAGCTAGCCTCACCTTGCCTGCTTCCGTCCGGCCAACCACTGACAGCGCGCAAAAAAAGTCAACTTCCGCTACCACTGACTGCATCCCAGTACCCACGGCAAGAGACACCTCGTCGAATGACACCCAGTGTCCAGCAAGTTACCCCGTCGAGCCGCTCACCACTGGTCAGGCTGACTCCGTTGGGTTGGACTCGATTCGCCTGAATCCGCCATCTTACCCGCCCTGACGCCTAACCACCGGGTCCAGGGCTATTTATATATACACACGTCGAAGAAGACGTCCCGGAACCGCAGCGCGCAGGTGACTACTGGAGATAAATGCTCAGCATCTGCCCACCCTGGCTCGACAAGACGCCAGCCGGAGTTTTGAGCTCGACGAATTCACTCGTCCGTCCGCCTCAGCATCACCCACATCTTCCGCACCGGTTACTCGACTCAGATCTGAATCAGGCTCCGAGGTAGATCGAACACATCCCGCCAGGAGGAAGAGTCCCACCGGACTTGCATGGCTCTTTGGATTGGGGGAAAGGAGGGGTCACCGAAATAATTATCGCCAGGCAGCTGGTAAGCGAGAGGGTGGTCAACGGCACAATAAATTTAAAAGTGGTCGACAAGAGAGAAGTGACGGCACCAGGGCCAAACGGAGGGGGAGTACCGGAGAAGAGAATCCGTATAAAAGCACCTATTTTGGAGAAGGAGGGCTACGGCAACGAATATACGAACTAGGCCGTGGATCACAGGCTCGGCTCGCAACTGAAGAAGAGAATATGAAGTTCTCACACAGCATCCAGTTCAACTCCGTTCCGGATTGGAGTGACAGCTATATTGCGTATAGCAATTTGAAGAAACTGTGAGGGGTCCTTATTGACCAGGAGAGTCGGCAAATTTTCCTTCCTAGGCTAACTGTTCTTGCAGGATATACACTCTTGAAAAACAGGTGAATCAACCCGAGCACGAAAATGGACAACTCGAGTCTGCCCCTCTCCTCGACAGGAGTATTGATACAGATGCCATATTCCGCCGTGCCCTAGATGGAGAGTTGGAGAAGATATGCTCTTTCTACCGCACAAAGGAAACAGATTTGTATCAGGAGGTGGAGGATATCACACAGGAGCTGGAATCGTTCGCCCGGGATAGCATAGGAATCGACATGGAACCCGTTGCTCATTCACTCGTCAAGTCACGAACATTGAGCTTTGGTGGCAGAAATCGCCGGCGTAGTGAGGCATCTCGCCATGCTACCCTTACCCAACATCGCTCAAGTACCATCAGTGAACCCTCTGGGCCTGAGGGGGATGCTGATAGTGATGACTCGGAAGATAACATGGACATGGCTGAGTTCCCACAGAGGAGGATAAGGAGACATTCTGCCTCGTCAAGAGATTGGACAAGGGAACCACGGCCCCAGGAGGACTTGTTGAACAGCGAGCTTATGGATTCACGGTTTATGGGGGTAGCGCATGATCCTGAGCACACTGCGATCTATGACGTTGGCGTATCATTGAAGAAACGAATAATCGGCATATATGTTTCCCTATGTGAGCTCAAGTCATTTATCCAGCTTAACCGTACTGGATTCTCAAAGGCTTTGAAGAAATATGACAAAACACTTGACAGGAATTTGAGAAGGCAGTACATGGATTCCACTGTCCTAGTGGCCATGCCGTTCACAGATCCGACAATCGCCAAGCTTGATAACACCATCGCCAGAGTCGAGAGGCTATACGCTGGGTTTGTTACGGATGGTGATTTGGGTCTGTCTAGACGGGAGCTTCGTCTCCATCTACGCGAGCATGTCGTCTGGGAACGAAATACCGTATGGCGGGAGATGATCGGTATAGAAAGGAAGACTCAGGCTGCAAACATGGGAATACGCAGAACACTGCTCGGAGGAGAGCAGGATATGGAAAGGGCTCAACGGCAGGGTGATGAGCAAGAAGCAAGCATAAAGGAGTTCATAACCCCCGTGGGACGGTGCCCTGTCCCAGCGTGGCTTCTATCGTCTACCTTTGCGACACTAGTTGCTATCCTTATTACATTCGGCGTTATGCTTGTGGTGCCAATCATGAAGAAGCCCGAACAGCAAAACTGCCTGGCAATGCTGGTGTTTGTCAGTTTGCTATGGGCTACCGAGGTGATACCGCTTTTCGTGACATCGATCCTTGTCCCCTTCCTTACTGTCACACTGGGGATCATGCGTTCAGAAGAAGACCACACTAGACTTGGCGCGAAAGAGGCTACAGGTGCTGTCTTTGCAGCAATGTGGACGCCGGTCATCATGCTTCTCCTAGGAGGCTTTACAATTGCCGCCGCTCTATCGAAACATGATATTGCACGCAGAATGGCTACATTTGTGCTAAGCAAAGCGGGTACCAAGCCAAAAACTGTGCTCCTGACGAACATGTTTGTTGGCATGTTTTTGAGTATGTGGATTAGCAACGTTGCTGCTCCAGTGCTTTGCTTTTCTATCATTCAAGTAAGTTTACAAATTTTTGTCTGTGGGAATAACACCGCTAACAAGTATCCCATCTAGCCGATGCTTCGAAACCTACCGACCGATTCCCGGTTCTCAAAAGCTGTAATCCTAGGCATCGCCCTGGCTTCTAACATTGGAGGTGCTGCATCTCCAATTGCATCGCCACAGAACATCATTGCATTGCAGAACATGGATCCTGCCATCAGCTGGGGCACTTGGTTCTTCATTGCCCTACCAATCTGCATTCTCTCAATTCTGGGCATCTGGGTCCTTCTCCTTATCACTTTCAACCCCAGCCGAGGAACAACCATAGTCCCTATCCGTTCCGTCAAGGACAAGTTCACCGGTATCCAATGGTTCATCACCATCGTCACTGTCGGCACCATCTGCTTATGGTGCGTCAGCCATCAGCTTGAAAGCACCTTTGGAGACATGGGCGTCATCGCCATCCTCCCTCTAGTTCTGTTTTTTGGCACAGGAATTCTCACAAAAGAAGACTTTAACAACTTCCTCTGGACTATTATCATTCTGGCATCAGGTGGTCTCTGTCTCGGGAAGGCGGTCACGTCTTCCGGACTGCTACATACCATCGCCCGCTCTATAACAAGCAGCGTGGCTGGGTTGAGCCTGTACGGCGTCCTCTTTGTCTTTGCGGCGTTGATTCTAGTGGTGGCAACTTTCATCTCCCATACTGTGGCGGCGTTGATTCTCCTACCCCTTGTCAAAGAAGTGGGTATTGGAATGAACGAGCCACATCCTAACCTCCTAGTGATGGGAAGTGCATTGATGTGTTCTGTGGCTATGGGCCTCCCCACAAGCGGCTTCCCCAATATGAGTAAGTTTTCGTTCCATGTCCGTGTTGGAGAAATCCCTATCTAACGTTTTGCTTTCGCAGCTGCTATCATGATGGAAGTTCCAGAGACTGGCCAGCGATATCTTCGTGTCCGTCATTTCATCACACGAGGCGTACCAGCGAGTATCCTCTCATTCGGCCTCGTTGTAACCCTTGGATACGGACTGATGATCGTTGCGGGGCTGTAGGTCATCGCTGCCATTTTCTTGACTCTGATACGGCGCATTCTATGGAGCATTGACCCTTACCAATATACAGGGGCTTCCCGTCTGTACTTCTAAGTATAAAAGATTTACATTGATATTGTTACATAGCAAGCGGACCCAGTAGAACATATACAATACAACTGGATAAAGACATAAAAGCATGAACCATACCCCTGGCCGGTTGGCGACTTTGTCCTTCTATTGGCCTATGCTAGCCAGGGCTTTCGGCAAGTCATTCTCACGTGAGCTAGATTTTTTATGGCAGGTTCACATGACTCAGCCTCCCAAATACAGCGGTTGGTTGCCTGGTTTAATGCATTATGTCATCCGCCCGGAATTTATGTCTGAAATATAAAAGTGGACCGCGGTGTTAGAAACTCCACACAACATGAATCGAGTATTTGTCGATGGATGAACTCGCTTTGGCACAATCTAAGTAAGTTACATCCGAGAGGGGAAAGATTATTGAGATCTGGGTTGGCCCTGCAATAATCAAATTATATATCTAGCTGAAGGCAGGGATACTTAGGTACTAGGTAATCCAGAGGCTCTCCCCGTTCAGTAGCTACGATAGTTAAGTGTACATTACGGAGTCGTGATGATTATATACGCCTTGATGTAGATATAGCCTGCAGTATAAGGGATAAGGGAAACAATGCCGACAACGAGAGGAGTATTATCAGGGCAAGTCTACAGAGAGTAATCCGTAACGAGGAGACGGGAGCCGTTACCTACGTCTCGATGTCGTCTAAACAAACGTGATGACATAATCACTATAACTCAATGCCAAGCGCATGATCCTCCTTACTACGCAAGGTCACCGGTCAAGTCCGCCCCTGATTACATCATCGCTTGTAGCTACTTAGATTGCGGGAAGGCGAAGAAGAAAAGAAGCAAACACGAAGAAGCAAACACATGGAGCTGCCACTGGCTGCGATGGGCTAAGCTGGTGACCAGGGTGGAGGAGACCTGGGTAGGGGCCCGTGGCGTCGATACCTGGCGTTGCGCATATCGAAGCGAGGAGCTCGGCTTTTCAGTCTGCTCTAATGGATCGCCCTGCTGAGAGAGGGCGCTCTGCTGTATCACAGTCGATCGGCATATAAGTAGCAGCTGAGCTCCCGCCTGGCTGAGGCCAATCCTCAACTACATACGGAGTATATCCCGACCTCTCATCGCCAGACCTCCTCATCACTACTACACCCAACCATGTTGGCCTCCTCGACCACGGCTGCTGCGATGCTTGCGGCATCCCAGCTCTTTTCCGGAGTTCGTGCTGATGGCCCTACCTGCCCTCCTGGCGGCGAGGTGAGCTGTCATAACTCCGGCCCCGTCCAAGATACCTGTTGCTTCAACACTCCTGGCGGCCTTATTCTTCAAACTCAGTTCTGGGATGCAGACCCAGCTACTGGCCCCGAGGATTCATGGACCATCCACGGTCTCTGGTGAGTTCATTTCTGCACCAGTATGATGGAGCGAAACCGAGGCTCTAATGTTGTTGATCAATATTCTAGGCCCGATAACTGTGATGGTACCTACGAGCAATTCTGTGACATGAGCCGTCAATATAGCAATATTACCCAGATTCTCCAGGCTCAGGGCAAAGATGACACCCTTAATTACATGATGAAGTACTTCAAGGACTACAAGGGTGATGATGAATCTTTCTGGGAACACGAGTGGAACAAGCATGGTACATGCATGA